CTAATAAAACACGCACTGCCACTGCGAACTAAATTGCTTAAAAAACGATCGATCTAGTAAGTTCATTTGCGAAGTAATATTTTAAAATACGTTGTGTAAGTCGAGAAAATCAAAGTTAAAGTTTATGTAAATCAAGCGAAATCTCTAATCACATATAAAGATACGACATCCTTATAATTTTTCTTTGTGTTTTCCTCATGAATTATAGTGCGTTTTTGAAGCTTCAATAATATCATTATTCCCATTTTTATTGCTAATTAAAACAAGAAATTTGCGCTTTCGTCTCAGCATAGTTACAGGTAATAGAATAGATGGTTTGGAAACTCATTAGAATAAACAATACAACTCATTATCTACGTTTGTCAACGCGTATTCGTAAATACGGTCCTTCACCGTCACGTGTGTATTGTATTTTTACCAAATCTACCAATAGCAGTTTCCAATTTACCCTATTGTTCCAGTCAGTTCCAACTTTCCTAAAACATTGCTATTGCCTATTGGTTAGTTGGTCAAAAATACAATACGCACGTGACGGCGAAGGACCAGATGTATGAAGTCTATGAATAAACAATCAAATGATTTTGCCATGAATTAAGAAAAAATGCCATCATCATTAGTCAATCATATTTGAGTAATTTTGCCCTCTATATTATTAATTCATAAAAACCTCAATAGAATACCCTTGTTTAATAAACAAACATATACAGTATACTTATACCAGTGAATCGTATATGGTATGAGTGGATTAAATAGTTTGATATAAGTAATGTAATTTGATATTTATTTTTATGTGTACGTCATGCTGGGCATATACTGTAGTTTATTGTACTTTATATTGAACCGTAAGTCATTAATATTCATTCCAAATGGCATAGCATGCTGTGTTGGGATATTTAATTAAAACAATATAGATTCATTGGCAGTTATCTTACAATGACTGAGTCTTGCTGATTCTTCAATTTATTGAATATAGGCTAGATGGAACCCCAATGGAAAGGCCATCTCGAAGCCCTTGAAAAATATCTGACCTCACTGGAAAAATTTAATCAACCCCTGCGGAAAAATCCTTTACACCCTGCTGGAAAAATTGCCTTGCCCCTCTGGCCCTTCTGGAAAAATGACTTTACCCCATTGGAAATCCACATGGGAAATCATCCCAACCCCACTGGAAAAATGACGTAACCCTTCTGGAAAGGCAAATGTGACATTTTATCCCATCTGGAATTTCAGTTTTTATTATTCCCTTTGGAAAAATAGGTCTCTATACCCCTCTGGATTTTTGGTCCTCGACAGGGGGGGGTACGGATATTAAATGTAATAGCCCAATTGATAAGATTAAGTCACTCGAATCGACAGATATTCTGTTAATATCAGATGGAAATGCATTCCTTGCTTGCTATTCACATATGAAAAAAATTCAACGAGGTTACTCGCCAGAACTGGGAATGGTAGATTTTGGACAATTTAGCGATGAGAGTGGTGAGAATGTGAAAGTTGCATTGATGAGACATGCAAAGGGATCAGGGGAAACTCAAATGACTGTGAAAAATGCTGCTGAAGTTTTGCACCCCAAAGTCGCCCTTTTGGTCGGGATTTGTGAAACCATGAAACCAGAAATGGCAAAACTTGGTGATGTTGTGATTTCTGCGAAATTGGCAACTTATAAGGTTGAATGCAGCCGAGACGATGACACATTTGAGTATAATTGTGAATCCAAAGAGAAAGTGAGTCCGAAAATGGGAAAATTGATTCTTTCTGCGGCTGATGGTTGGAATCCACCATTAAAAGACCCAAATAGTTTTGAAGTCAAAGTTCATCAACAAGCTTTGATGTTAAGTGGCTCAGGTTTTATTAAAAATAAAAAAAGAGTAAATGAATTAAAAGACAAGTTTCCAAATGCAGTTGCTGTTGAAATAAAGGGAAAAGGTAGGTAGAAGCTTTCTACAAGTGAGTCATATGCATGGTTCTGCCATCTGTGTATTCCACACCAAGGCTTTAATAAAACCAGTTTTAATATTTTTAGCCTGAATGTGAAAGGCTCATATGCACAACTCAGCTGCTGAATACATCAGCAGGAGGTATATAAAATGATCAGGTCTTCTCATTGCATCAAGTGTTTTTTTATTTTGTGCTTAAATTTTAGGTTTATATAAAGCAGCACATGATCTTGAGATGGAATGGTTCATTATAAAAGGTGTATCAGATTTGGCAGGTGGAAGTGATTTAGAAAAGGTGGCAAATCTTTGGAATCGATTTGCTAGTGTAATGGCGACATCTGTTGTACACAATACGTTCAAATACCCTACTGTACTAAAAGGCTGGCCTCACTACAAAGAAGCAAAAGACACCCAAGGTATGTAGTCATTCTCCTAAACCAGAATGAAATTGGATTTTTAAAAATAAATTATTGTCCAAATTTATAATTTTGCCTTATTTATTTATTTCTCCCTCTTCATTTGTCCCATTTCTCATTCCATCAATCGTCCTTTCATCCATTCATCTTTGTGCCATTCCATCCTTTATTTTTTTTCCTTCCATCCCCAGCTCCAACCAGAGATTTTACCTTTCATAATATTTCATTCCTATGATGGTCCTATCCCTTCATATATTAGGCCCCCCTGGGAAAAATTTCTGACCAGTATGGGCATTATATTTTCATTTCTTGTAATGGAAATTTTATATCTTCCTATGTTTTAAATGGTCTGGATCATTATGTGTTAAATGGTTATTTAAAATCACCAAAACACATTAAAATAGTCCTCAAAATGCTGAAAATGGCACTTTATTAACTCTAGAATTTAAAATTTTTTGCGGGGGAGCATTACCCCGGACGCCCTTAAAAGTTCATTGTACTATATTCAGAGCTTTCCTCTGGGGGACGCGCGATCACGCCACTGCGCGCCCACATGAATCTTGGGGCATGCAAATTTGATTAATAGTAATACTAGCAGGCCGCTTATAAGAACTCTTATAAGCGCCCTGATACTAGCGACTAATAATCGTGCGCGCAGTTTCCCGAGTTGGAAAGCCCTGTATATTTTGCATGGAAATCATGGGAAGCCAAGTACATCTTCACCAAAAAAAACTTTATTCAAACTAGCGCAGGGTAAAATTGCTTGGTCCCCTCCCTCGATTTCCCCCCCCCCCCTTGACTAAAAATCTTGGCTACGCCACTGATTTTGTCTGTGTTTTCTTTTATTCAGATGACTATCATTTGTCCTTTTCATCCTTTTTTCTTATTATAGCCTGTGTAGCAGCTGGTTTTCCTCCCCCAAAAAACTGACTGCTACACAGGCTATTCTTATTATGCACTAGTCAATTGAAGCCCCGGCCCCCCGACCCCCGGGAAAGAGCGGGGAAATTAACATTTTGACAATGTTAAACTTTGGTAATTTCCTCGTCACCGGGGGAATATTGACTGTGAAAGTTACCGCCCCTATGGCCCGGCACTTTGCAAATTTTCATGACTTGGGAAATGGGAAATCGTTGAAGTATAAAATGTTCACAACATGTGAAGGCAATTCTTGATCTTCAACTTTGATCCGCATCAAAAGATACTGAATAAGTCTACGTTTCGACTATTTTGCAGTCATCATCAGGAAAGTGAAAATATATTCCTTTTTTTTAAGAAAAACTATGAGGAAACAATGATAAAACGGACAAAAGTTTTGAAAATATCTTCTCTGACTTCGAAGATTCCGCCATGTTGCCACGACGATAAACACGTTCCAGTCCACTTTCGTATCAGCCGTGCGTTAAAGTCCCGGCTATTGTCCCGGCTAATAAATTGACTTGTTATTTCCCCTGTACCCCGGGGAAAATGGTGCATTAAACCCGCGTTAATCCACAGCCATTCCCCCGTTAATTCCCCGCCCTGTCCCGGGGGGCCGGGGTTTCAATTGACTAGTGCATTACAATGCAGTTTTCAGGGTTTGTAATCCAAGTGAGTATATATACACTTTAATTTAAGACCTGACCAGGAACGACTGTGAAAAAGTGCAGCACAACCTTAGGTTCTCTGGTAGGAACTGAACGTGCGGCCCTGCGATTCCGGTGCATGCTCTAACCAACTGAGCTACAGAGGCCAGCTGTTGAGCTTTAACCGTAAGTTCATGTATTTTTAGGTGATCAGGTTTGCGGGTTGTGATAAGGTGGACTTTTCCTTTTTCTCCATCAGGGTTTGAATTAACAATGTGCAATTTGCACATCGTTTTGGACCAAATAGTGAAAACTGCACATCACTAATTTTCCAAACGATGTGCAAAAAAATGAGACTGAGACTATTTTCCACAGGGTATTGTGAAAAATACTGTTTCCAGAAGGGTTAAAATCATATAAATTATAAATAACACTAGAGGGAGCATCGAGGATCAAATTTGGGAGCGCTGTAATGGGTGGGAAATTGAAATCACGGATAAACACCACACAATTCTTTGATTACACTTGAAACCAGAAACAATTAAAACAAGAGTCACCAAACTGGATGTTTTATATGTTTTGAATGTCATTACTACAAACATTCCCCAAAATTTTGAATTCAAACGACGAATTCGAATTTCCTCTTGAAAAGATCAAAATTACTGACATCATCATTATTTTGGAGCGCTCTCAAAAGCCTGTTATAGACAAAATTGTGGTAAAAATGCTTGGTAAAAATCAAAACTGACTACTTAACTGCCATAAACAAGAATCTGGCTCAAACTCGCTCGTATTTTTTGCCCCCCAATAGCCGCGTTCCCTTTCTTTGACTGAATTACAGTAAGATTACGATGCCCGCTCTAGTGTTATTTATAATCTCTATGTTAAAAATGCTCTTCCAGAGGGGTTTCAAGTCTCTTTCAGAGGGCTCAATTGCACAGATTTGTATTCATTCGAGGGGCCGCGGTTGTTCAGAGGTGGGTTAGCGCTTTAACCTGGGGCCGGTTGTATAAAAACGTAAACTGCAGTTAAAAAGTAGTTAAAGTTAACCATGCTTTTATAGGGTATAGTTAACTGTCCAAAACGTAGTTAAAAATGGCGTTTGTATCGGAGTGAACAACATTTTTCAGTAAAACAATAATGAAAAGCAACGCTTACCTGAGATTTTCAATCGCTATCTTCCCTGTGAATGTTTCCTGACAATATAAACTCTTCAAACGCTATCGCTTTGGTGTTTTTACGAAAACAGAACATATTTTTGCACAGGATGATTTCTCGAAGACGAAGTATGGTCCATTACACCAAAAAACACTGATATATAATTGCCAAACAGCTAGACCTTGGTTTAACGTAAACATCTCAAGGAAAAACTCCATTCTTTTATGATTTTTGTGGCGGTTTTTCCTTGTTTCCTTGTTTTAATATTTTTCAGTTCACTGTTTTCTAGTGTTTTGAATAAAATTCCCGCCTATTTGCAAAATACGAGTCCGCAATCATGTTGAAAATGTGTGTTAGCGGTCGTTACTCCCTGCTTACTTTATGTAATTTTGTGTTTAAACGCCCCACGCAAGCCCCACGCACAGTTAACTACGTGATTAGTTAACTATCCGACTAACTACGTTTTGTGCAACGCAGTTAAGGAGGCTCCCTACAGTTCCGTGCGGGATGTTCGCGGGACAAGTACGTGAACTATCCCACGCAACTGCATGATCAAAACAAAACAAAAATTGACCATGCTTTTTTTAAAATAAAGCTATTTTTAAAAGGTTTCTAATGGAAAAAAGCGTTGAATAATACTTCGTTTTGAGTGTCAAATCACTTGCGAGTCTATACAGCAATTCTACATATGATGCGAATATCACTAGACCAAAACATAGCTACGAAACAATATTTTTAAATGTTTTTATACACTGTCAACTGACTCAACTGTAAAACATTTGCAAAATTGCATACAAACGTTTAAAATGTTGTTTACTTCTCAAGAAAACGTTCACGTTTTTAGTCGTGTTTCTACTAAAGTAATATTTCAGTTTCATAGCCTAATTGTTCATTTTTAGCAAAAAGTACAAAACCAAACATGAAACAAAAAAACACGTCCACCTGTTAATAAGCTGTTACAGCTCAGATAGATTGAGTAAACGGCAGGATTCAATTAGCTTCAACCTTGTTTTCGTCGATTTAATCCTTCACAATAATCCTTGGCTGTCCATAGCACTCAAATAAATCGAAAAGTTGACAAAAATAAAACAGTAAAAACAACATTGCGGCTCGATTTTGCTGAATGAAAACTCGTTCGGCGCCCGCGTACAATCTTTTACTAGTCAGCGACGCTTTTCAATAGGGGAATTTCTCGAGTTACACGAGGCTATTTTCTAACTTTATTTGCATTTTATTCATTAGTTTCATCGGTGACCTATCTTCAAATTTTGACCACGAATTTATTTTGCGGTAAATTTTATAAATTTCAAATTTTAAAAAAATCTGGGGCCGATTGTATAAAAAAGTGATTAAAGTTAACTATAGTTAGTGGAAACGTCATCCAATAAAAAGCGCGTATTTGAGAGTTAATCACTATTTAACTACAAAATAGTGATTAAAAAAGTGATTAAGAGTTTTATACAACGGCCCCTGGTTATTTCAGCAGCGAACGAAAAAGAGTTAACTACTTTTTAACTGCAGTTAGCGCTAACTACGTTTTTATACAACCGGCCCCAGTAGTGTGGAAATTTCGCAATAAATTTTTCGGTTTTAAAAAAATCACACACTACAGAATTTGTTTAAACTTTCAGCACAGTTGCAGAGCATCATTCCTTATTGATATATGAAATAAAAAAGATAGGTCACCGACATCGTTTTTGAGATAGCGGCACATTTATGGGTTAAATTGGAAGGCTTTATGCTGTCGTCATGTTGCCATGGGAACATTGACATCGTCGAAATCTAGTTCGAAATATTCCTTAGGTGACCAATATTACCACCAAGTCGAAAAGAATTCGCGTTCTGCACGAATAAGCCTGTTCTACGGAATTATTGCTTAAACAAGAATAACTGTAGGGAGCCACCTTAAGTCATGTAGTTAACTAATTGCTCTTCCGATCTATTTAACTACAGTGATTAACGCTAACTACAGTTAGCGCTAATTACGTTTTTATACAACCGGCCCCTGCTGTTTTAGTTTGTGTATTTCTGCACGTCTGTTTATTTCAAAACTTCAGAGAAGTAAACTCCTGTCGACCCCAACAAGATTTCTGAAGAAATATTTCCTAATTTATAGACAAGCTGTCAGGAAGTTTGCTTTGAATTTTAGGTTAACCTAGGATTAAGCTGATCGCCTTTTGAACAACCGGCCCCAGAGGGGTAAAAATCCCCAAAAGCAGAGGTCCTCAACACAGGGAGGGGTTGCTTTTTAAAAGTAATAGTCCATTAAACAAGTCGGTGCATGACAAGAGCTGCATTTGATCCAAGCCTAACTTCAGTTGCAGATGAGAAGCCACGTACTTCCGTACAAGAAGCACGCTCGCGACCGCCGTCGATGCCACGACGACCGACCAGGTTTGAACCTTATGAAAGAGAATCTTCCGTTAGTGGAGGCTCCGGTGTCAGCAGACGACCTAGCGGCTTTGAACGAAGGTGTGTGCTTGTAGTACATTGAGCTTTTACGCTCCTAGAAAGTTATAAAGGAAACAGTGGGTCAATCCCGATTTATTAGCAGGATCCGCGGAAGAACGAGGCCGGAGACAACTCTATAGCTTCTTTTCCATTCATTGCAAGAGTGAACTTGCAAACTGGATTTCATTACAATGCTCGACATTTTATTTTTATTGGATACAAACACTCGCATCAAGCTTGCAAGTTGGTTTTTGTGATTTTGTTGAGACTTAAATTGTGACCGAACCGAAATTATCTGGTTTTGAGTTCGTCCTGGTCTCATGTAAATGTGACATTGCTTTCTTTTGAACAATATGAACACATAAAGTTTGTTCGTTCACTGCAACCAGGTATATCAATCATGTTTCGCTCGCTACTCTGGTTTAAATAAATGATTACAAAGCCCAGTCGAATTGTAATCAAGATTCAAGACCCAACGTTTCGACACTCCAGTCTAGTGTCTTCATCAGGGGTGATCTAAAACTGCGATCGTGGCTTCTTAAATACCCAAGGTATGACGTCACCTGCCAAGAAGGCAGGTGACGTCATACCTTGGGTATTTAAGAAGCCACGATCGCAGTTTTAGATCACCCCTGATGAAGACACTAGACTGGAGTGTCGAAACGTTGGGTCTTGATTACAATTCGACTGGGCTTTGTAATCATTTATTTAAACCAGAGTAGCGACCGAAACATGATTAATATGAACACAATTTATTATTACACTGACCCGAAAGGTCAAGTGTCTTAAATCCCTAATTTTCTGTTTTCTTCGTCTTCGAGAAAGCGCATCGCAGGCTCAGGGTGCAACGATTAAGCCAAAATGCCATCGATTCAAATGCCATCGATTCCCCGACTGCTTGATTTAATTTTTATAGTAACAAGCTCGTATTTATGTACCTAGCAGCCGGCTCATGCCATGCTTATGATACATCTTTCTTTATTAGCCCATACACTTGTACACACGCGCACAATTGCGAACTCCAAGGATAGAGCTCCAGTGACATATTCAGTTCAGTTTCAAAATGGCGGCTTTTCACTGAATATATTTTGCACAGTTTCGTTGAATTTTTAAAGAATTGTGCCAATTTCCTATGGATTTTACGTTGTGTCACACTCTGGACTTTCTTGCGTGTTGAATTAATTTGTTTTTCTTTGTGTAACGACTCGAAAACCGCAGAATTTGGACCCAGCGAATTTATATCAAACTGTTCTGCAGGGCCGTAGCTAGAACGCTAATTGGGAGGGGGGTGTATATTCATATATTCGTGTTCTGCCCGACGGATTTCTTTTGAAATCGATTATCTTTATGGTATGTGAACATGAATATATGAATATACCCCCCCCCCCCAATTATCGTGTGTCTAGCTACGGCCCTGCTGTTCTACGAACTCTCTTGCTCCCCACTCCCTTGTCTATTACACCATAGCGCGTATGTCCTCATTTTCAAGCAGGTCAGTGTGAACGCCTGACCAGGCGTCTTGTTTTATTTCAGATATCGAGGAGGTGGCCGAAGAGGATATGGTGGCATGCGAAGCGGTAGAGATGATTCAGGAGGGTTTGGAAGAGGTAGCGGCGGTGGCGTCAGGCGTAATGGGGGATCAGGAGGTTTATCCAAGAGTACCACAGGACATTGTGTGTACATGCGTGGTTTACCTTTCTCCGCGTCAGAAGCAGATGTGAAGCAATGGTTTATGCCACTGAACCCAGTAGCAATCAGGATTGAGACAAGTGGTTCTGGTCAGCGGAGGTCACGTGGTGAAGCTGACGTGGATTTTGCAACCGACGCTGACGCTAAAGCCGCCATGGCGAAAAACGGACAATTTATGGGTGGGTGGAAAAAGTTTGACTAGCCTTACTTATACTGGATAGCTCCATCAGTTCTAAACTGTTCTTCCTAGAGGTCCAGTAAGACTCATCTCTTATTGATCCAGTGTTACTACAGGAGGAAGCCTAAACTAAACTAACTTTATTTGTACTGGATAGCTCTATCACTTTTAAACTGTTCTTCTTAGAGGTCTAGTAAGGATCATCTCTTATTGATCCTGTGTCACTACAGGAGGAAACCTAAACTAAACTAACTTTATTTGTACTGGATAGCTCTATCAGTTTTAAACTGTTCTTCTTAGAGGTCTAGTAAGAATCATCTCTTATTGATCCAGTGTCACTACAGGAGGAAACCTAAATTAAGATAACTTTATTTATACTGGATAGCTCTATCAGTTCTAAACTGTTCTTCCTAAAGGGCTATTAAGGAGAATTTCTTATTGACCCAGTGTCACTACAGACGGAAACCTAAACCAAACTAACATATTTATACTGGATAGTTTTGAACTGTTCTCCCTAGAGGTCCAGTAAGGATCATCCCATGAAAGGCTCATGCACAAACCACTGTGGAATGAATTCAAACTTGAACTTTGTTTTAGGCCATCATTGTATTGAGTTATTTTTGAGATTAAAATTTGATGATGGTGGTGGAGATGACTGGAGCTCTGGTGACCAGTCCTTTTTCTCTGGCCAAGGAATGAACTTTTCAAACAATGCCGAAAATGAAAGATTGTTAAACTTGTTAAATATGATGTTAAATAAAGATGATATAATAATTACTAGAAAATACATGCATGCAGCAACCCCTCGCCTTTCTTAACAGATGAAGTATAAAATCCCACATAAAGTATTAAGACCATTATAAACTACAAGTTACTATCGCAAGGAAAGTGCTGCCTCATCCCCAATGGATCAAAGCCAGCATGTGCAATTTGCTGAATAAGGGGTTGTTTATATGATCCTGCTTTGCCAGGACGAGATACGAGGCAGGGCGATTTCGATGTATTGAAATAAGTCATGGTCTACAACATTTCAGTTCTGTTAACCAGCATTTGAAGTTTCATTTAGCCTAGTGACTTATTTCAATCGTCAATACTCAAAATCATCCCATCTTCCGTCATGTTAACAGCCCCTAAGACCTGTTCATGGGGTAGGAAAAATGCATTTTGAATACCAAACACCTTGCACAATGTTGAAGGTCGGCTAAATATTCTATTTCTACTTTGTTGGCATGGGTGATTTTATATGAATACCTTCAATGCTAATAACTTCTTGCTTTTGTATGTATAATCATAATACTGTCAGTGGTGAAGCTAGCCATAGCAACAGGTCATGCTACGCAAGTTTGCTAGCTATGCATTTGCATTGTAGTCATTTGCATTGTAGGTTTATTAGCATAACATGACCAGTTGCCATGGCTAGCTTGCCACTGAATACTGTACAATATCATATACATAAACAATAATAATACTTGAATGAATCATTGGACATATAGAATTTAATAACAATTTAATATATAGAAATAAGTCAGTTTTTGTCCCAATTATCATTTTAATGGCACCTTCAAGGCAATGTTCACAGAACAACTGAATAATCTGCTGATGGGGAGACAAAATCTATTTGTTGACATTTTTGTTTAGTACGTCTGCTTCAGATGACACCATTCATTTGTAATGACTAAGATTGTACTCAGCCAGAACTGCAAAACTATATAATAGGAAAGAATTTGTGAGCACTATCGAAAAATATAGTATACCCTGAAATGTAGTGACACAGGCACACAACCAGGGTGAATATATGAATGTAGGCCGGTAGGATTATTTCATATTTATGCTAACAATGTACATATCTCAGGGATATTTTTACAGACCACCATACCTTGTACAAAAATCGGTTGACATGTTATATTAATACATGTAGGCTATTAAACTGCTGCCTGCTGGTAAGTTAATATATGCAGACAACAATCCACACTGTCGTCTGTCGCTGGGTTATTAAACTGCATGTGTTGGCAGGTTGCTATAGGAAATATATTTGCATTATAAAGCATACCGCACAACATTCAGCGTTTTCAAAACGTTCTGAAAGCAAATTGCTATGTCTATGAACATCTAGAATGAACACTAAACTCATCGCCTTGGCGCATCGCCACACAAACAAATATAAAACCAAAAGTACATCATTTTGACCCCAAAATATATTAAAAAGACGATCTATTGTTTCAAATACCTCATATCGAACGCTAAACATTAGATCTAAATATAAATGCCTTCATGTAATATCACCAGAAAGAAATAAAGCTATCCTTACCTGAATTATTCAACATGTATCATGCGAGCGCAATACAAAATAAATTTTGACCGCCCCCCTCGTTTAAAAAAACTTCCTGAAGCCTTAATTAGTTCCCCGGAATTACGACATCTTTACAGACAGACAGACAGACAGACAGACAGACAGACAGACAGACAGACAGACAGACAGACAGACAGACAGACAGACAGACAGACAGACAGACAGACAGACAGACAGAGAGACAGACAGACAGACAGACAGACAGACAGACAGACAGACAGACAGACAGACAGACAGACAGACAGACAGACAGACAGACAGACAGACAGACAGACAGACAGACAGACAGACAGACAGACAGACAGACAGACAGACAGACAGACAGACAGACAGACAGACAGACAGACAGACAGACAGACAGACAGACAGACAGACAGACAGACAGACAGACAGACACTGAAGACACTGAAGACACTGAAGACACTGAAGACACAAATCGAAATCTCGATCGACTGTACATAACTCGGCCAAAGAGACTGGGCACAAGTAAACGCAGGCACGCAATACTTCATGTTAAGAATAGTGTGCTGCCTTCGGCAGCAACAAACACAAAAACATAACTGATGCCGTGATGCGCTAGCTTTATAATGAACGATAACTTTGACTGCAATTTCTTTATACTTTATATACTTTATACTTTATACTTTATTTAGAAATGGTAAATACATTGCAGCCATGAGCTGAATTGCGTATTATACTTACAATTAAAAATTATTAAAAATTAGAGTTTTGAAATATATCAAAGTATTATAATTAATTGACTAAATTGTCAAAAGTGTCTGTTTATAATAAGCATGCAAAAGTTATTAAGAATATAAAATAGGTAAATGAAGAGTAAAACCTATTCAGTTTTGCTACTCGGTGCCATAATAAAACTATTACTAAACCGATTGGTTTTACAAACTGGAACGTCAAAAGATCTAATAGATCTCAGGTCGTGGATGGAGTTATGCCTTGGCGGCAAGAGGTAATGTAGACTGTGATTAGAATCTTTGATAATTGCATTAAACAATTTCTTGCAGCCGTTTTGATGGTGAGTGGAAAGATGTTCAATTCCACTGAGATTTAAAGCTTCCACATATTTCAAATGGGGATAAATAATTCCAAATACGCGTTTCTGGACTCGTTCCAAATCTTGACTTAAATACTTGGGTAGGCTGTAGTGGAAAACCGGGACAGCATAGTCCAACACAGATCTTATACAGGTTATGTAAAATGTGATTAGTTCTTGTATTGGGATTTTTGCTCTCTTAAGTTGAATAAGGAAATATATCCTTTTGGAGGCTTTCTTGACTAATTCAGTGATATGTTTATTCCACGTAAGGTTGTTGCTAATGTTAAGACCAAGCACTTTAAAATCGGATACAACTTCTATGATTTGATTCTCAATTGAAATTGGGTTAAGCTCGGGTTGATTCCGTGCAAAAGAACTTCGTATCTCCTTACATTTATCAGCATTTAATTGCATTCTATTGATATTGGAGCAATCTAAAATTTCATTTGCAATCAGTTGAGCTTCACTGTGCTCGCCTTGCAATACGACTTCCGACGCCGTGGTATCGTCAACGTATTTCCATAAGTTCTCACTATGTTTCTTCAAATCATTAATCATTATTAAGAAGAGCCAAGGGCCTAATTTGGTTCCTTGAGGAACACCAGCCGGTACTTGGCCCCATTCAGAAAGGCAACTATTTGACAGCTTAACCCTTTGATATCTATCCGATAAAAAGTCGATAATCCAGTTGATGATACTAGTTGGTAAATCTAAAGCACCTAACTTGATCCTTAGGATACTATGATCGATGAAATCGAATGCCTTTTTATAGTCCAATAGAAACACTCCGATAGTTGCTCCTGTTCCGTCCAGCATTGAGGTCCAGTGATGCAACATGTCTATTAAAGCAAAAGTGGTTGAAGAATTAGGAATAGAACCAAATTGATTTGAGTCGATGGATTTCAGAACCGCAGGTTTGATATATCTATTTACCACACATTCTTCAGCTACTTTGGATATGCTCAGGGTCAGTGAGATAGGTCTGAGATCTTTTTCTAAGATTTGAACTGTCTTAGATTTACTGTCGTTCCAATTGAAGTGTTCCTCAAATATTGATTCAATACATTACCTCAAGCTGACCAATTCATTTCATCAAGTTCCTCGAGATATTCATACACTTCCTGTGAAAGAGCCAATTCCAAGAATTTGATCATTTCTGGTCACTTCCTTTCTATTTATGATTGGTTAGTTGCACAAACAACAAAGGTGATTGGTGCATTCAAACTATTCAACAGGAAGTTTACAATTATACTAGGAAGTGTATGAATATTTCGAGGAACTTGATGAAATGAATTGGTTAGCCCGAGGTAATGTATTGAATCAATATTTGAGGAACACTTCAATTGGAACGACAGTAGGTATAGGTAAAACATTGGCTAGTTTCCACATCGATGGAAGTTGTTGTTGCTTGAAGGAAGCATTTAAGATGGTACTAATTGGGAACGCTAGTATAGCTGCATAATCACGAAGAAGCCAATTTGATATTTCATCAGGACCACAAGTTTTTGTAGGGTTCAGCTTTGATAAATATGAATACGCTGTTTCTTCAGTGACTACTAAAAACTCAGGGTTGTTAACTTCTAGCTCGAAAGGAAGAAGGGGCTGGGCAGTTTATATACAGATAAGGGATCCAAGAAAGCTTCATTGATCTTGTTAGCTAATTCTTGCTCAGATAATTGTTCGAGGTTTTCAATATCTATTATATTTCTAATATCACTAGATCTAGTAGATGCCATTCCACTTAAACGCTTTACTTCTTTCCACCATTCCTTGGAGTCTGTTTGTTTCATTTGATGTACACGGAGTTTATAATAGTTTGATTTACAGATTTTCCTTTCTCGATTTACTTGGTTTCGAAGAGATTTAAAACTGCTCGAGTCAGGGCCATAGGTAGAAAAAGCTTTCTGTCTTTCAATGATCAGCGATTTGAAATGGTTCGTTATCCAGGGGGCATCGACAGGACATTTCTTTGATCGTGTCATCGGCATTAATATATTAACCCCAGTAAGAACTATGTTTTGAAACATGTTCGATAACTGATCACAATCATTAGTAGATGGAATAATTTGAGGCCAATCAATCGAGTTTAGATATCTTCCCAGGGCTCGTTTGGAACTTGGATTAATATTACGCTTAAAGGTGGTGCCATTAGAGATTAGATCTTTAGCTCTTTCCTTTGGAGATGAAATGATAGTATTGTGGTCGGATAGTCCAAAAGGGGGCATTATTAGAGGTTTTTCATAATACTCGTGCAGATTAGTTAAGATGATGTCAAAGAATCGCATTTCTGCGGGTAGGAGTCTGAACTATCTGTTTCAGTTGAAAATGATGTTTGATTCTGTTAACATTAAGACGATTAAAGTCACCTGCAACAATAAGTGCGCAGTTTAGAAATTTTGACTCTGCCTTTTTTAATGACTGGAATAAATGGTCTCTCATAGAATAATCATCTGCTCCAGGGGGGTGGTATACTATAGCTACGATAATACATGAGAACTTGCGTGGAATACGAGTAGGTCTAAGGTGCAGCCATAAGATTTCGTGCTCCTGGCAGCAAGATAACTCTAAAATCTGTTTATATTTAACATCTCGGTTATTAACGTATGCACAAACCCCACCATGGGATTTGTTAATTCGGTCCCTACGTATTATTGAAAACCGGGAATGTTCACCACGCTGTCAGGAATAGAAGCTTTAAGCCAGGTCTCTGTGATAAATACCAGGCTGATTTGATTCCGATGAATAAATTCGCGAACTTCGTCAACTTTTGGAACGAGTGACATGACATTAGACAGCATTATTTTTGGGACATGTTCAAATTTAATAGCTTCATCTAGTGGAATTTTAACCAAGTTAAAATCGGACGTTTTATAATTATTCCGAAACCTCTTGCAATTGTAGTTATGAGTTGTTATTCTTACAGGAATGGTTTGACCCATGATCGTTTCTTTTTCCATAGTGGCATCTTTTTCCATTCATGCATACCAGCTTGCATTAAAGTGAATTATCGATTTATCGAGTTAAGAATGGCTTAAAAACTTCGCAGATATGAATGAAACCGACAACACAAAGCAAGTACGGCATGGCATTTTACTACTGGAATGTTTACACTTACCCAAACCGGCACAACAACGATTAAATTATCAAAGATATCAACATTAAAACAATTATTATACAAACTTTGTTTCACGGTTGAACAGCCACTAATTCATGAAACTGCAGGCTTATATTTCCAGTTAAAATCGAGGAAAAAAAAGTGTTGTACTTTCTTAAACTTTTTAACGAAATGTAAAACAAAACATTGCTTGTAAAACAGCAAAATACGTCCATTCAAAATGAACAGCAATTTACTTCGGCAGATTTTGTACTCGCGCATGCGCATAACGTCGAAAACCGTCCATGACATAAAATGGAGGATAACTTTGAAC